TTTCTTACTTGTGAAGTAAGTAGTTGATCTCACAAGTTAAAATGTGGTGACACTTAAATTAACACGTGGATGTTTTGTTATAGAACAAAACATCGGAAACCCGTCGAGAGATTCTACATGGATAACTATCTGAGTGTTAGTGGTTAATTTTTAACGTTCGATAGTGGAATTGGTCATTTTTGACTTGATGTCGTCATAGTACCTTATATGAGGACAGTCATACTTTGGCGGTGTTGGATGTTGCTCTGCAAAGGGCCGCTAATACGACATGGTTCGGGTACGTCAAAAATCGTATGAGGGTTGTGATTGACCAATAAAGGATTCGTCACTTTTAGATAGTAGGAGATTATGATATGCGTTTAATTCAATTAAGTTAATAACGAAATCCTTGGCCAAGGTGTACTCATAAGTCGAAAAGGAATTTTCGACTTATATTGACTTAATAGTGGAGTGAAAGATATGATCGATATTTGGGATTGACACAATTTCATATCTCGTAATTGATCGGATCATATTGACGAAGGGATTTTAGTTTTACGGTAAACGAACGAGTTTGGTTTTGTCATACGACATGACATTCCCCGTCACATGTATTGCCCTGACGCATTGCTAGATGTCAATTTGGGACGGCGAATGTGAATTTGTAATAAATTAAAAAGGTGTTTTAATTTATCAATTTTGATTAGATCAAAATAATATTTCACGTCGTTAGGTATCGTGATCAGGAACCTGATGGGTCACACACAAAAGAGAATTGGAAGATAGCAATTTGTCAATTAATTAATTTAAAAATCGTTGGATAAATTAATTAATTGGGTTGGTTATTTATAAGCCCGAATTAATTAATTGGATTAAATAATCTACGGACCGAATTTAATTAAATGGATTAATTAAATATTGGATCGGACCAGATCAGGCCCGTTTGAGCTTTATATAAATACATGACTAGGGTTTTCAATCCACATTTTTTCTCATAATTATTCTTGCTAGCACAAGAGGAGAAAACGCTGGTAGCTGCAATTTTGTTCTCTGTGTGGATCGCCGTTGGAGACTGGATAATTGGACAACTGTGGGTGGCGAATCAAGATTGCTGGAATAAAAAGAATAGCAAAGAAGTTTGCAGATCTGAAAAAGGTACAATCTTATCACAATTTCTATCTAAACACAAGGCGATTCTTGGTGGGAATCGAAATATGTTTTAATTTTTCGTTGTGCATGTTAAGTAGATTCCCAACACATACAATAAGTTGAAAGGAATAAAACATAATCCAGGGATTAAGTATGCACAGTTTATTCTCCAAGTCAGAAAGGTCCTATATATATATATATATATATATATTCCGTTAAATTAGTTTCCTCAATTCAAGCGTGCGATCAGCAATTACCTTCTTTAGGCGGACTCCCCAAAATAAAAATCCACCTCCCTAAAATACAAACTCACGGTCAATTTGACATTTATCGACGGCGTAATCAACATTCAAGGTCACAAATTGAAGATTCACAAATCGAATTATCTCGTCACAATGTAACAGAGTTAACGCCATGGCTGTGTTGTATTTTTGGAATAGTTCGGAGGTTGTTGACTTCGCAATCGGAGATTTCAAATGGAAACAGTGTCAAAAAACATATAGCAGTTACCGTCGGTAAGTCGTGCCATGAATTCATGAATTTGATGTTTTTAACGAATTAATACATCCATTCATTGCAATTGGGTACATTAAGCTCTACAATCAATTTTTACTTTTGTTTCTAAAACAACTACTGCATTGTTGATACAATTATGGTCAATTTTTATAAAACTCATACACATGATTACATATACGTCACGAGAATGTAATGAAGAAACATAAGTCTATGACGTGAATTCGATATAGTGAACTACATAATTAAAATATTCGTTCACCATCTGTGCATTTCTAATTTAATTATTCATTGAAATGTTAATAGTGTATGCATATATATATATATATATATGTGACCTGGAATCTGTTTGAATATGGTCACTGGCCAATATGCTTGTACATTCTAATTTGACAAGTTGCATATGATCTGTGACCAATATATAGTGATTTGTGACTAAAGTTCACTAAGTTGTGTCAAATTGCGTATGATTTGTGACCAATATACAGTGATCTGTGACCTCGGTTCAATATGTCGTGTCAAGTTGTATAATATCTGAGACCAAATACAGTGAATGTGACTAATAGTGTATGCATACATATATGACTTGAAATCTGTTTGTGTGAAAACAGATCTTTCAATTATGAATGTATGGGATAATCTTTGACCTAAAATCTAATATTCTGACTAGTTGCAGTAAACTGTGACACTTGTGTATATTAGAACATGCAGTATAAGTTTTGACTTCTGAGAAAAAAAATGTAGTAATAGTAGTGTACTGTCGTACATTACGCTAAAGGAAATAGATTGTGACCCTTCGAAATACCCGTTAAGTATTAATGTAACAGCAGCAAAAATTGAGCAACAGAGTATTATAGTTCTAGCTGATGTACAAAGTACTAGAGAGTTGTTTTCATTACAGGATCTGACATCAGACATTTACAATGCAGCAATTGAACCAGCTGGTCACATATTTGAACAAAAAGTCACAGTTGTGAAAATCGCCGATGCCAGAGAGGTGGAAGAAGGAAAGATCTTTCGTGATAAAGAAAATCTAAAATTGAGCCTTTCTTTTTTCGCAATAAAGAACATATTTGAGTTTATGGTTGTTTGGTCGGAGAAGAAGAAATATGTTGTCAGGTGTGTGCATGATGAGTGTACGTTGTGAAGGATGTGATCACAACCGGAGAAGATGCAGTAATATGGTGCCATTAAGCTAAAATTAAGCAGGGACAAAAACTAAAGAACAACAACTCAGATGATGACACAGTTAGGTAGCAAACAGATCATTTTTATAGCATTTAACACTTCATAAAGTGGTGGTATATCTCGATTGGTATATCGTTTTACTGTAAATGAAATATTCATTGATGTGATATTATGATGTGTGACCAACATAGTAGAATTTGTCCAGTGAAGGGTTAACTATGTATCATAGCAACTGTGACCATTAGATTAATATCTATGACCCGTGTACATTAAGTATGTGACCTTGCATAACATGTAATCTAAAAAAGTTAGCAAATGTGACCTAATAACCTAAATATGTGACAATATACTATAGTTCGTGACTTCTACAAATGAATCGTGCAATTGGTTTAGAAACCTTTGTATGTATATGTGACATTCTGAAAACAGTATGTGATCTATTACCTTTGACTTGAGCAGACTAAGTACCTGTGACATTGATTAGTGACATGTTCGATTACATGTGACATGTGTTGAGTGGAATTATTTTAATATGTGACCTGAATACAAACATATATGGGTAATAAACTATAATCTGTGACCAGGAAATATACATTCTGTTATTCGACACAAACCATTTACATTTCACAAACTGTTAATGAAATAGAACACGACAGTATCAAACATCTCAAGTTCTATGACCAAACATAAAATACCAAACCTGCTAAAAAACGACACCATAATTGATCAAATGCAAAAATCAAACAATTTTCTAATGTGTCAATGTACAACCACAATATCACAATAATTCCAACGAGTGTCATCACACAAACTATTATAAACGAAAATAGAAAAGAGGCCAGTATTTAGACCCTTTACAGAATCCTATCATCATCCTAAATTTCAAATACATTATCAATCCTCACTTAATGACAATCCCCTCTCCCTTTGTATGCTTCCCTGCCTTTGTAGGCTTGAATGTCCCCTGATGTTTATATAACCAGGACGCTATGTCTAGCCTCGTTCTCCCAGCGTCAAATTTCTTCGACATAGAATCTTTGTCATCGTGGAGCAAGTATTCAGCTTATATAATCGTGAATATGCTGCAATCATGCTTGAACAGAAGCATAACATAATTTATTAGGTACGATACTTTTAACATGAATCATGTCACATATTAAGAAATTATAACAAGTTAGGCCACAAACATATAGAGTCTTAGACACATAGGAACAATAGGTCACAGATACATATAATCGTATATAAATCATGCATTTAATGTCACGTATACAGAGAATGGAATGCAATCCATTAACAAATCCATAAACATCACTTTCAAGTGGAAATATTAGATTAAATTAGGAAATAGACATATAGAAGTAATTAATTTTTTTCATGTATAAGATATTTAAGGAACTTTGTTAACATAAAATCAAAAAATAAAACAAAAAAATGAAATATTTAAAATATGTATATTATAATCAAATAACAATGTGAAAATGTTCTAAAAGATCACTTAAATACAACTCGTCTTGCAGTTTTCGAGGCAAAAATATCAATCAATTTTGTATAATCGAGTTGTTCAACCATTTCTTTTTCAATTGATAACATGGCTAAACCATTCAATCTTCACTGTGACATAGTTGATCGAATATGAGTTTTGATCAATTTCAACTTGGAGAAACTTCTTTCTACTGATGCAATTGTAACCAGGATGGTGAACAAAATCTTGTAAGCAATGCAAGTATTTGGAAAACAACCATTCATTTTCTTCAAGTAATGTAGCACATCAATTGCTCTTTTTGTTTCACTAGTTAAATAGCACCTCAAGATGATCAACTCTGAACACAAATCATCACCTATAATGTCTGAATGTCCATTATGTTTTAAATACTACTCAAGATTCATACAGGATTTCAATAAACTGTCAACTTGCATACAAATTAATCTGTCCAAGTTAAAAAAAAATCCACATATTTCTTTATAATGTGTAAATTGTTCAAAATGAGTTTGAAGTGATGATCAAGCTTGATCAATTATAAAGAGAAAATGCTCAACTCTAAAAGATTCTTTAGTCGAGTATGTTACCTCTTCAGTTCCACTTTTATCGAATTGCTTTTTTCTTCGAATGCTACGTCTCTCTTGAAATATAGCTTCAATTCCCATTTCACTTGCCATTTGTTTAGCTTCATTCATGGATTAATATACATGCTTTCGGCTTGAAAAAATTTACTCACAGTATTGACTGCATGCAACAACTTATACCAAATTACAATGCCTAGCAAAAACTCAAAATTTTCAACTTCATATATTGCTAAGGACTCAGCTTCACTTTTTGTCTTTGGATCTTCAACAATGTTTGCCAAGTCAAGTAAAGCGTTTCTTATTTGTATAGATTGTTCTTTTATAGGCTTCACACTTTCCACATGACTTTCCCAACTTGTTTGCAACAATGGCTTAAGTGTCAGACTTTGAACCTTATCTTTAAAAAATTTTCATCGTTTGGGAGAAGAAGAGAACAATGTGTAGATTCACTGTATCACTCCAAAGAAGGATATAGCTTTCGAAAAATAATTTGACATATCACATAATGTTAGATTAAGGCTATGACAACCACATGGAGTATAGAAAGCTCTAGGGTTTATTCCAAGTAACCTTTTTTGTACACCCCTATGTCTCCCGCTCAAGTTAGCTCCATTGTCATACCCTTGACCTCTTATATTATTAATATCAAGCTCAAGATTCTTTAACACAATTTTAAGCTCAGTGAAAAGTCCAAATCCTGATGCTTCATCCACATTCAAAAATTCAATCCAATATTCCTGTACCATCGGTGAGCCTACCGAATCATCCACACATCGTATTACTGGAGACATTTGTTCTTCATTGCTTGCATCTGAAGTACAATCAAGTATGACGAAAAAAGATTTTGCATGTTTCACTTTTGTGACGATTGTACTTCTCACCTCGCCTACCAACATTTGTATCAATTCATTTTAAATCGTAGGGCCCAAATACTATACTGAATCTCACGTGCTTGAGCACGTCGAATGTGTTCTTCCATTATTAGATCGAACTCAGCAACCATTTCTATCATTTGCAAAAAAAGTCCGTTGTTCTCAACATAAAGTTGCTCACAATCTTCTTGAAATGCCAGAGTATTTTTAGCGAGTCTTTTCATAATAGCAATTATTCTCGTTAACACTTGTTTCCAATGCTCTTTTTCTTTGTTCATGAACAGTTGTTTGCTTTCATCAATTTAATGTTTTGTTTGAAGCCTATTTTCCAGTTCCATCCAACTAATCATGCAACCTATATGCTCCTTAGGCACTTCGTGATAAGTAAGACGCCGATGCATATTATGCCAATCATTGTATCCATCATTATCCAATTGGCCAATATTTTTAACCATTTTTTCTGTCTTAAATAACTTGCAGCAAAAATAGAAGATCCTATCCAAAGAAATTGAATACACTAGCCATCTTCTATCAGTTGTCTGTCCATTTGCCATTACTAGCTTTTATATTCTGATGATTCAAAATGTCTACCTTGACCATCTCTAGGAAACAAGATGTCATCAACTCTTTTTGGATCCATTTCAACTAAAAAATCCCTTATCTTTTGATCAATGTAAACGATCTTCCAATTTTCAGGATCATTAAAATTCAAAGAAAAGCAATTCTCTTAATTTAAATCTTCACGTTGAACATTATTTTCATCATTCTGTTTTGACTAATCCATATTTGCAGTTTCAATCATTTCTTTGTTCTCTTTCCGTTCATCCACATGATCATTGTCATTATCATTCCGATTCTGTTGTTCCTCAATCGTTAAGTTCTCTAGTGTTCCTTCCTTTTCTTTTCTTTTCTTGCCATTAAAGTACTTATCCATATCTCCAACTTGACTTCGAATTAATGCCTCGGATCTTTCCTTCTTCTTCCTTTTTTGAGCTCTTGACGCATATTTAGGAGCCATGGTATTTGACTCAAGTCACTTAACAGCCAACACTTACTGAAATTTGAGAGTAAAAGAGGCCCAAGTTAGATTAATTTAAGATTAAAAATTCAAAATTGATGACCCAATCACAATTAACAACTTATAATAATAGTACTCAACTTAACATCAACCATAATTCACACTTTATCGATTCTAGAGTTTTAGTAGCGCACTTCATAATGCGAGAACTAGACTAGAACATAAAAAATAAATACTAGAGAGCCAAATCCATTAAGTCGAGCTAATGAATCTATATTTCCATCACCTAGCCTTACCTATTTCATCGGATCATCATCAACTACTACCTTCAAAAAACCCCCAAACACAAAAATTGGAATGCTAGAGTCTAGATTAAAAATGCTCACAGTCATAGGCAGCTTACTTCACAGAATCATAGTTTACTTGCCCTTAAATTACTTTAACATGGCAGGATTAATCATTCATCATTAATAGATGACTTTAAGAATTTCACTCACCAACTGAAATCAATTATTCAATTTAACATGTCTTCAAGTTTAAAAACTAAGATGCAACTAATAGACAAAGAAATCAATTTAAATCTCACACCCAAAATATAACAAGAAAACAAATTGATAGATATTAGATAATAATTAAGAAAATCACTGAAACAGAATGCCACAATGCCCCAGCAATAGCATTAGGATCATGAAGTGATGAAGACAAAGTCGGCCGGTCGAATTTTGGATATCAAACATTGCAAGAAAACAATCAACAAATTGATAGATAATATAGTCATATGGAAGTAGAATGCCAGCATCGAATTGGATTCATGACATGATTGCCATCAGCAAGTTGGAATTTGGGGAAGATAAATGACTTACAAAATAGTACCAAGTACCAACGTCGAACAAGTCCGACAATAGAAGTCAGAAGATCGTCAACGCCACAGGATGCTGTAAGTCCGTGACTTTGCCGTTGTGATGTTGCCCATCGCTGTTAGGTTTTAGGAGTGGTTGAACTAGGGATGTAAACAAGTCGAGCCGAGTCGAGCCGGCTCGTGAGGTTTTAGGAGTGGTTGAACTGGGGATGTAAACAAGCCTAGCCGAGTCGAGCCGGCTCACGAGCCGAAATTTTCGGCTCGGGCTCGGCTCGAGTAAATCATAGTGGGCTTTTTTCGAGCCCAAGCTGAGCCAAGCCAAAACTCGGCCAAAAAAATACAACTCGGCCCGAGCTTTTGGCTCAGGCTTTTTACGAGCCGGTCCAAGTCGAGCCGAGCCAGCTCGATTTTTAAAATTTTTTTGGCCAATTTTTAATGACATTTTTTTCACATGCCAATTGTTGTAGTGCAATTTGTTTAATGTAGAAGGCAAAGAAATTGTTTAATGACATTTTTTTCACATTTTTTTTAAAGAATTTAAAATTTATATCATTTATTATTTAAATAAATTACAAATTAAATAAAAGTACAACTTACAAAATTTTGTAATTTATACGAATAACAAATTAAATAAAAGTTACAAATTACAACCCTCCTCCTTTTTTCGGGCTTGGGGTCGGCTACAATCAACGTAGGCGGAGTTAAAATTGTACACGAATAAAATATTTCATGTACAGTTTTTCTTGAATCAAATAAATTTAAAATATACATTTCTTAAAGAAAAATAATTAATTTAAAAACTTACAACATCCTATATTTGGATATGCTGCAACTCTTCGGCCATTATACTGTCAACATGTTCTTGAACACGTAATTCCGCATATTCTCAATCCTTCAAGCATATCAAAGCCTCCAATATATCTTCTTTTAGTCTTGATCGTTCATCTGATAAAATTCGACCACCTAAATTGAATGCAGCCTCCGATGCTACCGTAGACACCGGAGGTGTTAGTAGATCACGTGCAATTTTTGATACAATTGGATATTGCCTTTCGTTACACCTCCACCAATTTAAAAGACTAAATTCTTGTAATTCGTTTGGTTGCAACACACTACGAACATCCGTGCACATATACCTAGCTAACTCAGAAGGAATTTCAAGATTTGTACAACCAATATTGATCGCTCTAGATGTTGATGAAATAGAACTAGAACTAAATGAAGGAACACTTGTATTACTATCTAAATAATTCTATAAATTCTTGGAATTTATTGAAATATTTCTTGAAAAAGAACCTTGAGAAGTAGAACTACCCTGACATATCTTTTCTGCATAATAATTATACATTTCACATAAAAAAAGATTCTATATGCACATGTAATAATTCTATATTCAAATAATCTGATATCCCCTTTACAGTAGCTTTTGTGCCAGTTAAATTAAGTCGAGGGTCCATTACTGAAGCTAAAAGAAATAAAGAAGGCAACTCTTCCTAATATTTACAAAATTTTAACTCCATAGAGCGGACTACATCAGCAAAAAGTGACAAATTCCTATATTTATGAAATGCTTGTAAAATGTAGAAAAAATATTGTAAAACAAGAAAAGGTGTAGGGTAATAAACACCGCTACATTCCTTTGTAGCATCGAAAAAAGGTTGTAAAATTTTTTTCACGTAAAATGCAATAGTCCATTCTCAATCTTCCAAATTATGTTCGGGTCCGAGTGTATGCCCACCATTATAATATAGTGAAATTACTTTATCGTAATTTTCACATGCATGTAATATAAGATATGTAGAGTTCCACCTATGCGTTACATCAGTGGCAAATGATTTCTCTTGTAATCCATACTTTGCACACAAACTATTAAATGCTTGTTTTCTTGCTGGTGACACAGTAATAAAATTTATTGCTTGTCTAATTTTATCTAAAGGTGAACTTATATGTTCTAATCTAGCTTTTACAATCAAATTAATAATATGACATACACAACGTTGATGAAAAAATAATTTTCCAAATACGGGGTTAAGATTAGCAATAAATCTTTCAATAACAACTTTGTTCACTGCAGCATTATCAAAAGTAAAATTTCGAATCATATCTTGTATACCATATTCCTGTATGATATCTTTTAAAATCATGTATATGTTAGTGACATTATGAGGATACTCTACACATTTGAATACAATAATTCTTTTATGTAGAAGCCACGGGTGATCAATATAATGAGTTGCAGCAGCAATATAATCTTTTCTATTACAATCGATCCATAAATCAGAAGTAAACGATATAACATTATTAAAACTTTTTAGACCTTCAATAGTAACTTGTTTTCTTCTGTTATATAATTTTATGCTATCTTAACGAAGAGTGTTTCTAGAATAAGAAGAATACCTGTGTTGAAGATATTTCTACACGAGTCGGGTAAAGTGTATTGAGTCTATCATCGTAAGCGGCATCTCTACTGCAACCACGTATGCAGCCATTCTTTCGCGAAATCTTTCCTGTGAATATACAAAGGTGGAAAGAGTAGAATTAGAACCGCCAAACACTAGTTCAGTCTGTTTCGAGTCCAGATCGCTTTACAACTCCTTAATACGTGTCTATTCAAATGCGTTGTACTCGAACCGGGCTTCCAACTAAATTCTTTGCCACAGTAATTGCAACATACTTTCCAAATATCTACTCCATTTTGAACATCATTTTTTTTACATGTCATATGTTGCCAACAATTTGATGATTATTTTTTTTGACCTTTTTGTCTCGAGTACTTGAACTTCTTTCTCTTCAATATCCTCCAAATTAATTGGAACATTTTGACATGCATTGTAGTTAGACGGAGTACTCGAGCTACCGCCGAACTGATTAACTTCATCACTTGTAAAATCCATAATAACTAGTATAATAAAAAATACTGAATATTAGACTGTATAGTGAAAGAAATTGAAACTTGAATGATTGAATCTGAATTTATAATATAGAAATAATGCGAATTAAAATTGATAACAAAGTGATTTAAAACTTCAAAAATCACGTCGTATTTATAGACAAAAAACCCGTGTTATTTTTCAAATTTGAATTTCAAAATCTACACGACTATACCATGTAAAAAATGCAGCTATAGCTGCACGGCAACAGGTATAGCTTGCAGCTCTTCTAATTTTTTTTTAAAATTTTTTTTGCCATTTAATTTAACTCGGACCGAACATTATTGTCACGGGCCACACGGGCTTGCTCGGGCTCGATTTTTATGAGCCACGAGCCGGGCGGGCTCAGGCTATTCCCGAGTCGGGCCACGAGCCGCCCGAGCCACCGAGCCTTTTTGACATCCCTAGGTTGAACCGTTGAGACTTAAGTTGCAGCAGACGTAACCAAAACCATGGCGAAATTGGCGATTGGCGTGGAGAAGCACTGGAGCAGCCAACTGCAGAAGACAACTGTTGAAATTGGCCCGGGTTTTCCAAAAAAATAAAAAAGGGTTACAAGTATTTTGGGTACCCTTATATTTTGGGCCTGAGGCAGAGGCCTCTTGGGCCTCTCCTCAGGTCCGGCTTTGAAGGCATAGGGCAGAGAGGTAGAGGTGGCAAACTTGACGATTGAAGTACTTTTGTCCTTGATCTCACACTTGAGCTTTTCCTTTGCCTCGCGCTGTCGCTGCGACATATCCTTCTTTGTCTTCTTCCTCCTCGTCACCAAAGTCTATGTTGGATTCCAATGAAAATTGCTGCGCAGCAAAAAATAGGCAGGAAATCAACAAGAACAAACACAGGATAGATTAGGGAACGAGAAATACTTGACATTGATGTGGAAGAGAGTTAAGAATATGAAAAGGCATTTTCTAGGGTTTCTTTCTTTCACTCGAAGAAGAATACAAATGAATGGAAAGGAGAATACAAAGAGTGCACGGAGAGATCTCTAGGTCTCAAGCACAATGAAAGTAGAGAGCAAATGTATTGAGCCTCTGAATAGGTACAAACTAACTCAACAAGTGTGAACACAATGTACTAAAAAATGAATAGTAACCTCCACATTCACTTTTTAAAGGAAAGGTGAAAAGGAGAAAAAGCCGATAATGAACACTAAATAATTGGTTCAAGTGTGAAAAGTGCGGTGATAAAAATGAATAGTGTGAAATACATCATCTGGTTCGGTGTAAATTGTGTACCAGTAACCTCTTTCTGATCCAAAAATGGAGTCCCAAAACCCAAATCCCCCTCGAACCCCAATGTACCCCAAAGTCATAGACTCCAATTACCAAACAATTCATCGCCCAAATCCCTCCTCTACACCGCTCTACCCCACCATCGACCCTGTGGAGAACCTCTTCCCTCACAACTACGAAACTCACACAGCTTCACCATCGGCCCCTCCCGAATCCATTGAGGAGGTCTACCTCACAATCCCCGGCGCAATTCTCCATTTGATCGATCAGCATTACTCCGTTGAGCTTGCTTCAGGCGCACTCCAAATCATCGTTCTTTATCAGGGGGATAACACCGTCGCTTCTTTTGCTCGTGTCGGGGATGAGACCCAATGGCCTTTGACGAAAGACCTTGCAGCCGTTAAGCTTGATCAATCCCATTACTTCTTCTCCTTCCAACCCCCGAAGGAAACTGAGGATTCTGACTCCAACGATGATGACGGAAAAGAGAAAAAGAAGAAGAAGAAGAAGAAGAATAAAAAGAATAAAAAGGAAAAGGTGAATATGGAAAATGAGGTGTTGAGTTATGGGTTAACGATAGTGTCTAAAGGGCAGGAGGGGGCCTTGAAGGAGTTGGATCGAGTTTTGGAGACTTATTGTAACTTTTCATTTCGGAGGGTGGAGGAGAAAGAGATGATAGCAGAGGCAGGGGCAGCGGCGAGGGGAATTACAGCAGGGGAGTTGAATACAGACAAGAAGAAGATGGAGGCGGTAGAAGGGCAGTGCGCAGCCTACTGGACGACGCTGGCACCTAATGTGGAGGAGTATAGCGGGACGGCAGCTAGGCTGATTGCGGCAGGGTCTGGGCATCTGGTTAAGGGAATATTATGGTGTGGAGATGTGACTGTAGATCGGTTGAAGTCAGGGAATGAGATGTTGAAGGAGAGGGTGACTCCAGGGGAAAATTCAAAGATTGATCCTAAGACCTTAAAGAGAATTAAGAGGTTTTATGGTGCTTTGTCTGTATTCATTTAATTAATAGTTGCATATTGATTTAGGTTGTCTGTTTGTTTACTTGTCTTTCAGCATATGTCTTTCCCTCGTTTGCTGTAACATGACATTGTCAGTTGTGTATGTTTGCTCTAAAAACACGATTCTCTAACTTTAAGCCTGATTTAGTAACGGCCAAATGACTTATACCCTATTTATAATGTTCTGTTTACATAAATATACGATATGAAGAAACAAGGCATATGCATAATTGTCGTTATTTTCTTTAGGGTTAAGAGGGTGACAAAGATGACCGAGAAAGTAGCAGTCGGGGTACTTTCAGGAGCTGTGAAGGTTTCGGGATTCTTTACTGGTTCTGTTGCAAATTCTAAAGTAGGAAAGAAGCTCTTTGGTCACCTGCCAGGAGAAATTGTCCTTGCATCTCTGGATGGATTTAGTATGTGAAACATCCCTTTCACTTTTATTTTTAATGTTGGTGCTTTTCTGCTGCACATTATATGAAGATATATATGCCCCGGTTTGGTAGTAGCTTATGTTAAATAGTTTATTAAAATCCAAGTCAAATTCAACAATTAATTTTAATCACACATTTCATTGGACCCACAACTTTCATATGAAGATATAAATGCCCCTGCTTGGTAGTAGCTTAAAATTAAATAGTTGATTAAAATCCAAGTAAAATTCAACAATTAATTTTAATCAAACATTTCTTTGGACTCACAATTTTTATCAATTTTTCAACCACGCATTTCACCAGCTTTTATCAAAATCTACTAAAAATTTTATTTTTAGCTACATCAACCAGGGCATAATTTAACAAGGTGTCTATTTATTTATTTAATTGTACTGTCTTTTTTCAATTTGATGTTTTGCATGAGTTATTAACTTATTAAGCGATTATAATAGTTGCTGCTAGTGCATATATTTTAAAAGCAATCTAATCCTTCATATTGCTGGGTGATGTGTTCAAATTGAGGTGAGGGACCAGACGATGATGCCTAAGTTATAAATTTCACAAAAGCAAAATTGTAAGTTTTGACTTGTGCTTGATATCTCACAAGAATCCTTATGAAAGAATGAAAAACTCATCTATGCTCTTTTTAAGTTTACCTTCCTCACATACGTATTAGACCGAATAAAGCATTTTGTTTGCTTGTATAGTGTTGGGTTGATAACTTTTTTACAAGTTGCATGGTCAACTTATAAGTGAGAAGTATTTGGAACTCTAATGTTTTAGATAGGCTCTTTGATGAAATTAGTGGGTTAGCATATGATTCTAGGTATGGAATTGAAACTTCAAACTTCTAGTCAGAAATGAATAACGTTCCAGGGGAGTTAACCCTTGTTGTAACCCTTACAGTAAGTACTGGCGAAAGAAAAAGAAGAAAAGGAAAAACATTTATTCAAGCTGCATATGTAGTTAACTACTGAATTGAAAGAATGGGTCTGCTTTTCAATTGAAATCTTCTAGGCCTTGTGGGAAAAAAAGAACAATTAATTTACCAGAATTAAGCCTCCCTGGCAAATTTATAAATGGTTTTTAAAGAGGAATATTAGTCGTTTCTACGACGTGTGGATAATAATGAATAGTAGTTATGAAATTGTGGTTAAAATTAATGTTTGACTGTGAACTCTATTTATAAACCATTTATAAATTTGTATCCAAAAGAAGGCTAAGCAATCATATCCAATACAATTAAGATACTGCTCTGAGTATGTATATTTTTTACATCACTGTGTCTGCCCAAAGAGCGTGGATATTTTCACTTAGAAATTTTTGACTACACACATTTGAAGACCAGTGAAAGAATAGCTTGCCAATTATTTTTTAACTCATAAAAAAGTATGCTGCAAAAGGTTTAGCTTGAACTGAGTTCAGCTGGTATGTTTAGTTTGGGAGTTCATAGTTGGTTCTTTCCCAGTGTGTTTGGTCTCTAGAAAGAAAAAATGTTGCTAACTGGCAGTCAAAATCAAATTACCTAAAGTCTTTCAGTCACCAGATAATCTGGTTTAAAATTACTCTTCAATAGGTTTGTCATGTATGTGCCTTCTATGAAAATATCTTTCTGCTCTTGACAATATGGGGTTCTTCAGTTATTTCATTTCCTCTTAGGTGTTTACTTAGTGGCTGTGGCTTTATGCATCTTTTCGGTGTGTATTAACTATTAACCTGGAGCAACTTCACATTCATTGCTGTAGCATTAAGTTTCTATAAATGAATGGTGGTGTTGTGGTCAAACTTGATTTAGATTGATTGTTTCATTACCTGTAGTAATTTATATGAACTTGCCCCTTACTTCTATCACTCCAGTTAACAATATATGCTTTCGGCAAACAGGCAAAATCTGTGATGCTGTTGAAGTAGCTGGAAAGAATGTGATGTCAACATCTTCCACTGTGACAACTGGACTTGTCTCCCACAGGTACGTGTCCTCGCCATCTATGATCTTGATCACGCTTGAGTGTACTTGTTGATCCCCATTCCCTTTTCATTCATTTCTTGTTAGATTGATATTTCTAATTTATCGATAAATTTTTTTATCTTGGTAACTGTACACCTGGTACAGATTTATGGCATGTTTGGAAAGGTAGAGTATGAAGCAAGAATTAGAAGCTACAATTTTGCTTAACCAAGCATGCATTACGGTTGTGTATCATATGCAGATTTAGAGTAATGAAATTTTCATTTTGAAGGTATGGAAACGAGGCAGGTGAGGCAGCAAGTGAGGGACTGGATGCTGCAGGACATGCTATGGGAACTGCATGGGCTGTTTTTAAGATTAGGAAGGCCTTCAATCCAAAAAGTGTTCTAAAGCCCTCTACACTGGCTGCATCTGCTATCAAGACTGCCGCAGCTGAGAAGAAGGGAAAAAGTTCCAAGTAATAGCTGATTAGTCATACAATTTCTTTGACTTCTTCTGGAGTATACATTTTCCAGATTCATTGAGAGTTAAAGAGCCAGATAACAATCTTTGTTTATCTTTTTAAATATTGTTGTTGTTCAGAACTGTCCTTTTTTTTTTTTATTTTTTTTTTATTTTTTTGTAGCTCAAGTTTGTTTCTTGTGAATAGTCCATCTCAGGACATAATTATTTTTTTCCTTCTCAATTTGATAGGACGTCTCCTGAAAGTATGAAATACTTTTAGTAAAACAACAATCACAAGCCAAAATTTTTTCCTGTTTATGGTAAGTTCATTTCCCTCCATTTAGCCCCCGTTTGGCCCCATTATTTGGATTTATAATGGGGGAATAGTGTTTTTTTTTTTTTTTGAAAAATAGATAGTTGTAAAAGAATGAAAAGTTTTCAATTTGCGTGTAATATTATTTTATTGAAGATTGTGTGGTTGAAAATTGGAGGGAGAAAAATTTAAATTAAATTTATGAGTTTTAATGAAGGCCAAACGGAGACTTAATTTTAATCTTGGGCATTTTGAAAATCCAAACTATAAAAATAATGAGAAATTTGAGTTCGCATACAATATTGAATTAAAAATATTTTTTTTTCCAATTGAGTTGTATTTAAGTTATGAATTTGTATAATATATATGAAATTATTTAGTTTTGAATTTTGATTACCCAATAGGTTTTCTTGCAAATGAAAGGAGTGTATGTAAAATAGATTTAAACGTGAGATAATTTTGAGATCTAATGATCAAAGATCTGGTGTGTCTTGATGTAATACACCTATAGAAAGAAAAATTCGAAAAATAGAATCCATTATTGATTCTCAAGGTAATATCAAGAATCCAAATGAAACCATGGTCCCAAAATTGACTTTAGTAGAGGAATCGAAGTCGAATTTTATCTAGTTTCAATTTGATTTCAACGATTCCCGAAAAAATGCCCACCTTTAATGGAAAATAAGGAAAGAAATACTAGGATATTCCATTAGTAAGTCCTTTAGGGCTGATTTTCAAAGTCTGATTTTATTAGAGTTGGCAACAGTTCGGTTCGAGAACAGATCGGCCAAAATTATCATCGAACCACCAATTTTTTCGTCATATCATAATCACACGATAACCACGTAAGTCGATATTGGTTCGGTTCAGTTTGTATATTAGTTCGACTCGATTCGGGGCAGTTAATATTCATGAAAATAAATTATTTTTCATAGGTCCAGCCGTCGAATTGAAAAAAAATATTTTATGAAAAAAGTCACACGTGATGGTTATCAACTGATAGTCGAGTGAATTATATTGGAACACTTCAAGCAATTTGCATCGTCGATAACTTACTAGATCAAAATTGTACAAAGGGTCGATAAAGGGTGATGTCTAGGTTAATAATGACAAAATAAAGAAAGACAAAGACTATGTATACTTAATTTCAAATCAATTCAGGTGTCTAAAACTAATCAAATGATCAAATTTACTGTAAGAGAATAAATTTTTTGAAACTGAAATTGTTGATTGAGTTCACTTCAAGAGCGAGTGTGTTGATAACCATTATGCGTGACTGCAGAGGAAGAAAAAACGTCCATGTGGAGTTTGCAAAATTAGATTTTTTTTATACATATTTTGCATTAGATTATTATTTATATGGAAAAAAAAATTAACATGTAATCGGTTCGGTTCAGGGCGACGCGCGTAAATACCATATTCTCATCGTCCCGAATTGGTTCATTAAAATCAAATATCATATCTGTCCCATTGTACCATCGGTTCGATTTTTTCGCCTCGTGTGGTTCGATTCATCGTGATTTTCGATTTTGACTGTTCAAATTGTCATCCCTACATTTTATTGGTCAATTTGGAAGATAAATTGAGGAACATACAAGTCAACAACTAGTCCAACGGAGGCGAATAGAGACATGGCATCAAGCAATGCCGTCCATTATTCAATCTTATTCTTTGATTTGTCTGTGTCTTTGTCTTATGAATGGACAACCTTTGCACCTCGAGGAACTACACGATGAAATTTGCGTCACAGTCTTCGACTTTTATATACTGTATCCATCAAAACAATAAAGCGAAAACTTGATTGGGATTCGAAATGGAAAAGTTTTCTCCATTAGTTGCAGCTTTACTGTGCATTGCATTTGCATATGGTGTGAATGGGTATATCAAATACAACACTGGGAGTGGGATTATTGATGGGAAATTGAACGTTCATTTGGTTCCCCATTCGCATGATGATGTGGGCTGGCTCAAGACAGTTGATCAGTACTATGTTGGATCAAATAACAGTATTCAGGTGTGAATTAGATGCGATTATGCAGTGTATGGATCGATTGGTTTAATTTCTTACTTTTTTTGGTTCTCTGAATTTCGATATTTGAATTGATACAGGGTGCATGTGTGGAAAATATTTTGGACTCTGTTGTTATGTCATTGCGCCGCGACCCTAATAGGAAGTTTGCCTTTGCTGAAATGGTAGTAATACTTCTTCTGAATTTCTTGAAATTATTGCTTTTGGACTAGAATCAATAGTTATCTGAAATTTATCTGGTTCAAATGACTTGGTTAAAGATGAAGTTCATGAATTTTTTATTTTTTATTTTTTTATTTTTTGCCTTAGGGTGCACGTTGTGGGAATTACATAAAGCATTGCACCATTGAGTTATTCAGATTGATCACAACTGATATTAATGGAGTGTTGGTTTCAGTTATCAGACACGGAGTGTGTACTAGTCTCCAATAGTATTTTGTTAATGCAACTATTTGCAGACTATAAAATTAAGCTTCACATATCCCAAAGGTAAAAATTTTTCACTCGGTAAGAGATTATCCTGAGTGCGGAGCAAGATTGAGAGCATACTGCGCGGATTATGGTCATGATTTTCCTATTCCTAAATAGAAAGATACTTCCATTTTGGTATAATCAGGTGGTCTTTGTAATGGAAGAGATGTTTAGCAATAAGCTTGCCAGCTTTGGCTTGTCCATTACATCATCTTGAGTTCTCAATGAAATGGTTCTTGACTGTCTAACACATTCTTTCTCCTGTATCTGCTTATAGAGGGAGTATATGGCGAGCAAAGTTAAGTACAGGTGACATTTTATGTGCAAATGCCTCCTAGTGTCAAGTCGAATGTGCAATACTAATTTCTGCAGAGGGTCACGCAGATCTGTAGCTTCTTTTCAAGTATTAGGCATTTTTAGGGTCCTGTGTTTCATTATTCTTGTTATTCTCCTTTTCCTTGTTCAGTTGGAGTTGAAATCAGTCATATTACATCACGTAATTTTACATCCATGTCTGTTACAAGAATTGGGACAACGTTGAACATTACTTGCCAATGGAACTAGTCCATTTCAACTACATGATGATGATACTGGAGAAATATCTACTTTGCAAGTAGAAATGCAGGAGTACATGAGTAAATATAGTTAGTACTGCATCAGCTTTCAGTTGTAGTCAACTGTTAAGACAAACCACAAGATCATTAGAGAGAGAGAGAGAGAGAGGATGAAGCAGAAAATGAAAAGAACAAATGATTAATGTGGTTCATTTCCATTGACTCTCCATGGACTAAGCTAACAATGAGAGCGATAATACTGGGTCATGCATTATACACAATGGTTGAAGTTCACTACTATTATGACTATCTAACAGTTTGTTGAATAAAGTGCTGTGCATAAACACATTGTCTCATGCAGATGCTTGATGTGTATAAATTTCTAACTTCAGCAAAGTTTCTTTTACCATTAACAAAAATGAATTGCTATTGTGATAGGCATTTTTCGATAGATGGTGGAAGAGGCAAAATCCAGAAATTCAAGAAGATGTACGGAAACTTGTTGATGCCGGCCAGTTGGAATTCGTGTAAGCATCAGCTTGCATCCTGCTATCCATATCCTTTCTTAGAGAATTTGGCATAAAACTATTTTAATAAACATGAATGCAGAAATGGTGGCTGGTGTATGCATGATGAAGCTGCTACTCATTATATTGACATGATTGACCAAACAACTCTAGGCCATCAACTGATAAAGAATCAATTTAATAAGGCTCCTCGTGCTGGATGGCAGATTGATCCGTTCGGGCACTCTGCAGTGCAGGCTTACCTACTAGGGGTTGAGGTATTTAAACTTATCTATTGATAGTTATTGGAATTCAATAACTGTTAGCTTAACATAATCTAAATCCGTATCTACAGAATTGATATTACATGTTTACATATTGTTAATTTTATATTTTATATTTTTTTGTTTGTATAGCTGGGATTTGATTCCGTTCATTTTGCACGGATTGATTATCAAGACAGAGGAAAACGTCAGAAAGATAAATCCCTCGAAGTTATTTGGCGGGCTTCCAGGACATTTGGATCCTCTTCTCAGGTTAGGAAATGCAACTCCTGCTCCATACACAATTTTAGTGTTAAACTGCTTCATTTGATTACTTTTAGTCTGGGTCCTTGCAGATTTTTGCCAATGCATTTCCTGTTCATTACAGCCCCCCAAATGGGTTCTCTTTTGAAGTAAATAATGATTTCAATCCAGTCCAGGTTCCATCTTTAAGCAAAGATCAATTAGTGTCAGTTTTACTCCTAGTTCTTCATATAAGCAGTATCATAATACTTCTCAGCTTCCCTTAATGCAGGATGATCCCCTCCTTTTTAACTTTAATGTGGACGTGCGAGTTAATGATTTTATTAGTAGTGCAATGATTCAAGTAAACTCCATGTTTCTCTTATTCCTTAAATTCAATAATTACCAAAGCTTCTTACTGAACAAGCATTTAGAAGGTAAGATTGCACATGCAGTTGATGATCATTTCATCTTTGATACATAGGCAAATATGACGCGAACTAATCATATTATGTGGACAATGGGCGATGACTTCCAATATCAATATGCCGAGTCTTGGTTCAAGCAAATGGACAAACTAATTCATTATGTGAACAAGGTAGTTTCTGTTGTAAAGTTGATTTCATTAATTCTAAAGAAAATCTCAATGGGAATGCACAATTGATTCTAAAGAATTATTTCCTCGTCATCAATTTAATCATTGAAGAAGACATTTTTAACAACCAATTGTTGTAACGTCCAAGCCAAATTGGCTGATATAGATATTATGAATCTGATTGCATTCATCTTGGCAACTGGAGCAAAAGTCTCTTAATAATTTCTGCAAGGTGCACTGTCACCATCCGTTGAAGACCTCTTCTTTGAAATAATGACATTGTATCCAAACAGTTTCTAGAACATAACATAGCATTATGTTTTGGCGGAAAGAGAAGTGAGAAA